TTAATTCATTTTTATATTTTCCATTTTTCATTCTAATGATTTCATCCACTATTAGGCATTACCATTTTTATTGTGTACAGTTTTACCGAGGTCAGACTCTCCCCCTTCTCTCCATCAACGGTGAGCGTGTGGAGAAGGTACAGCATCAGGTTCCTGGGCACCCAGATATCTGCTGATCTCTCATAGTCCACCAACACAAAAGCCATGACGGCTCAGCAGCGTCTTCACTTCCTGAGGATGCTCAGGAGGATTATGAACTTCTACCATGCTTCCATGTGAGTGTGCTGATCAGGGTGGTGTCCTCACTGCACTGAGGCAGACCAGAGAAGGCTTCAGCGGGTGAACGCTGCAATCACTGACTGTTATCTCCTCTCTTTAACATCCATCTTTAACTCCTGATGTCTCAGTAGAGCCTTCAACGTTGCAAAGGACAGTTCCCACCCTGGTTCCCAACTCTTTGAATTGTTGCCCTCAGGCAGACGCTGCAGGTCCATCAGGACTCAGGGATAGTTTTTTTTTTCTTCAAGCCTTCACACTCTTGAACACACACATGCATTGACTCATCACAGCTACACAATGTTCTGTGCTTTTATTTTTTATTTTAAAGTGTATACATTCAATGTGCATGTGTTGTGCTGTACACCAAATGAACTCCTGTACAGGCACTTTGAGAGAGGCTCTGCAATTTTGTTGCACTTCAGACAAAAACAAATAAAGCTTTATTCATTCATTCATTCATTTAGGCTAAATAATTTGTTCATGCCTGATAAATGACCACTTCCTAGGCCTACAGATGTGTATATATAATTTTACATAATGTTACTTTAATAATTTGATTTGCTTAAACCATATTGTTCATTGTCCTGCTTATATTCACTGTGCAAGGGTAATAATAAAAGCATTCTTATTCTGATATTTGTCAATAAAAATGTTTCAAACTAAACAAATAAGTGTTGTAGTTAATTATCTGTTTTTATTACTTTTTTATTTATGTTATATACACAATAACCTTAATTTTTATGTACATCTTAAGTGTATAATAATCATCTTGAGACATTGTTTGTACAAAGATGTAACTCCCAAAAAAAGCCATCCTCCCCACATCATTCCGAGTATATTCAATATGACAATGATAACATATCAACTCAAATTAGACATCATTTAAGGGTAATGTGACAATGTATAAGAACAGAAAAGAAAAGCACGTAACAAATAGATAAGTAAAATTAAAATTTAATAATAGCAATAATAAGTAATTTAAAAGTAACTAAAATATATTTTTTAAGTATCCTCGTTACTTCTCTCATCAAGGGGTATATGAAGTAATTCAGAAATGGGCTCCAGGTCACTGAGAATTGTTGTGTGGCCTATTTTAGTCTATATCTAATATTTTCTAATTTCAGAAAATACATGATGTCCCTTATTCATTTGGTCAAACTGGGTGTGTTGAAGGAGATCAGATGAACAAGTGCTGGCTTAACTGGGAAAATAATTGTCTAGATTTGTATTTCAGGTTTGAAGAGTTTCTTTATGAGTATACATAAAAGGTATATTACATTGGTGTTACTGAAGGAATATTTAGGGAAAAAACATTTATTCAAGTCTTTCTTTAAGTAGAAGTCTAACTGTTCCCCAGAAGAACATCATATTGATTCTGACTCTGAGCATATTTACCTTTAAATGTATAATTTTTTACGCTTGTGCAGTTCTAAATACCACTGTCCTCTTGCATGGTCTCTGCTGTAAAACTGCAATAGATGCGCCTAATGAAGTGGAACAAATGTGTCCTTGGAAATCATCAGCTCCACCTGAATCATGACTATTCCTGTATTTTTTATTTAGAAGATGAATTTTGTCTGCCTTTTTTTTTATATAGATCTTGCGGGTTCTAAGTCCACACAGAGCAGAAAGGATGACTAAAGCTTCCCGACCAGGTTGGCTGACAGAAAGACCCGCAGCAGTTTTGCGCTTTGACGCAGAGGGGCGCAGTTGCCTGACTCTCCAGGTGCGTCTGTCTCCCTCCCTCCCCCTTCCCATCCCATCTCTGCTGCTGCTTCTGGCTGCATCCCTCTCCTCCTCCTCCTCCTCCTCCTCCTCCTCCTTCTTCTTCTTCTTTTTTTTTTTTTTTTTCACGGGGAGAGCCGACTTGATGCGCATAATAAATCATCTCCGCCAGAAGAAGCCCAGTTTCGGACGCACGCTTGTTGGCTGTTGGGAGCATGAACAGAAGCGAAAGTCGAGCCTAACGCAGAAAGAGGAGGGGTGTTTTTTAAATGTGACTCGTTTCTGCAAACAACGTGGGTGCGTTTGTGTGAGTGTGTGCGTGTTTTTTTTTTTTTTTTTTTTTTTTTTTTGCGGGGAGTGGAGGAGAAGAGGCAGAATATGAAACGCATGTGCTTCCGACTCGTGCGTCCTCCGCTCTCTGTGACTGGACTCGGGCTCACCTGTATGCACGACCTTGTATCTGTCACCGAATTGTTCCTAACGAGATTTCCGTGGAGGATCAGTCCGTCTTTTTATTCTGAGGGCTGATTATTATTATTATTTATTTTATTTTATTTTATTACTCTCGCTGCTCTCCAGATACCTCGGGATAAGGAGGTAAGACAAACCATCATCCTAACAATAACAGAGCATGCAGATGATTGTCTGATCGTTTCAAAGGGGGAAATATTCTCCAAGCTCACGTGTCGGCCTGATTTTGCAGTTCAGAACTGGCCCATTTCTGTGCCTGATGAGGAATTGTTTGTTTTAGACTGGATGTGCCCTCCTAGCTGCAGCCTGCTGCCTCCACACTGAGCAGGAAGCGGGTACAAATTCAACAAACATCCTTTTTTCTTGAGCATTTCTTCTGTTTGTGTCTCCTTTTGTTGTCAAAGTGATGTAGGGATGCAGTTATAACCACATGCTGGTATTTTAGCCTGTGGCAGCTCCTGGTGAGGTGCCACGCTCACTGCAGCCCGGCTTCCCATCATTGTGAATTATATGAACCCACAGGACATCAAGCAATAGATTGGATTGTAGTGGATCAGCCCCAGGTGGATTTGAATGTCTGGATGCACCGTGGGGGAGAAATCAATCAGTGATGCTCGTTCAGAAATATTTAAAGGCTGAACCACTTTTAGGGAACCTTGAATACAGTAGCCACTGGGAATGGAGAGGGAGAAAGGTGCTGACACACATTTACACACAGCACATTTTACCTCGCAACATTTCTCAGGTAATGGCACTCTCGTGTGCCACAATGTCCGCTTGAATACCTCTGATGCATGCAGCTCAGGCCTTTAGACAAAGTGTGCTCCCACTCTTCCAGCTGAGTGTTTGTTCAAGCAGCATGTCGCTCGGACATTATGACGAGGGTTCTGTTTGCATGTTGTCTCATTTGACCACGTATTGGTTCACGATTGCACCTTTCGGATGGAGAGAGTGATTCAGTTTCCTCTCCACCTTCTATCCTCATTATCCAGGAGCACAAATTGTGAATATGTGTGTCTACACGTGGGTGGTTTGGCCACCTGTGTGCTTACATGAAAAAGTGTGAACGGTTTTATATAAATGTAACAAAAACAGAGCAATGCATTTGTAAATGATTGGGGTTTTTTTTTTTTGTTTGTTTGTTTTTTGCTGGTGCCATTCCTTGGAAAAGCCCATTACGTATTTAAACCATAACGTGCAGCGTCGACAGGAGTATAATATATACCAACTGCACCCTCTCCACCACCAATCCTGAGTCCTGAGGTGCCAGCGGTTGGCACACTGTAGGCCTATTACTGAGGTAGAAGGCATGCAGGATTCTTCTGGAGCGCAAGCGTGCCAAACCAATTTTGCAGTCTTTGGAAGGGGAAGAAAAAGAGGCCGAGCAAACATGAAAGGTAGAGGAGAAAATACTGGCTGAGACCCCACATGTCCGATTTGACATCCAGGCAGCTGACAAACAACTAGGTTTTCTATAAGTAGTGCTCTGAACCAGGCTCGCCTCAGGATCAGGCCACAAATGAGCCGCACATCGTGGCTTAAATGTCTCCTAAATGGAAAGTGTGTGCATGTGTGTGTGGACGCTGGCTATAATACTGCATGGTTCGAGAGCAAAGTTAGTGTGTAGGTGTGTGTGGGTTGTGTGACATTCAGCAGATGGATGTTATTATCCGTCCCTGGCCTATCTTGAACACCTCTTGAGGAAATTCCGTGTGCGTTTCCTTTTGCAGACAAGCCTATTCATGCGCACGGCTTCACACAGGTGCAAGCTAATGTACTCAAATCTGCATACGCTCCACACATGCTGCACTGCTCACTTTAACTGCTGCGTTATTGCCTGTTTCTCCATTGTGTGTATGTTTGACATTTCATAATTGCATCATTACTTGCTCAGTGCATCGCAATTTGCAACACATGCTTTGAGCAGACAGACTCTTGCCCTTGATTATGGACCTGAGTGGAATGGGTTCCTTATCAGGCTGTCTTGATTTCACCCCAGCATGTGGGGAGACACATGCTGCTGTGGGTGAATCTAATTGATTGCATGGCACCCAATTTCCAGGTCCAAGTCTCCTTCAGGCAGCCAGAGAGTGGATGCAGCCAAATGAAGGATGAGCCGAGGCATTGGTTGTTCCTCTAATAGACTGGCATGGACTCACCCCCCCACCCCACCCCTCATATGCCACTGGTATCACTCTCAGACATCTCCGAGGGCAAGTTGGCCTCAATACATGGCACAAAGAAGCATTGTCACTGTTAGAATGGCCTGAAGTTAGGCGCATCTGGTACCAAACTGTCCTTCCAGTTTATCAGATGTATATTTCTGCAACCAAACAATTTAAGTACTTGCCCCATCGTTTTTTGTTTTTTCCCCCTTAAAGGCATTTATAGGACATAATGCATTAAACTGTTGAGGTATTTAACTTCAAAAATCCTTGTTTCAACAGGTCACCCTCCTTTCACTCTGAGAAGTGCCGTTTCAAAGCTTATTGGATGAAAGTCTCATTTATTCCTGGCTGCCAAAGATGACGCTGCCATGGAAACTGCTTCTGTTACTATCAATCATCAGCCGTCTGACAGGTAAAGCACCTTTTTATATAAAGTAATGATTTTTTTTTTTTTTTTACCACGTTCGGACGTTCAGTTTTGCAGGACGGTGGGGGAAGAGATGTCAGGGATGATAGGAGGCCCTAGTTTAAAGGAGCACTCCTCACTATTGACTTTCATTCACAAAGCAGACACAATGCTCTCCATCTTCTTCGTTCTTCTACTGAGATTAGAACCTGATGATGAGATATGATGCTTTTATTCTATAATCTTTTCCGTGGCAAAAGCATTGTGCAAAATGCTTTTCCGTCCATCATAAAAAAAAATGTATTTGTTCATACAATTCACAGTGTTTTCTATTCAACAAGAACAAACAGGATGAGTTACTCCTCTGGGTGCAACACAAGATGTGCCGAATCTTTGAGAACGGTCTGGGAGTTCTTTTTACACCATTGATATAAAGAACATACTTTCTAGTCCTTCATTCCTGGGTGATTTGTTTAGGATTAAAACATAAAGATATGTCCTGTGTTTTCAGTTAACAAACATCTTCATCAGGCCTTCTTGTGGCACTGTTTTCATTAAAAAAACCATGGAATAATAAATGTCAGACTCCATCAAAAATGAAAAAAATGGACGGTTTCTCTTCAGTCCAAGAAGTCACAAACAAACTGGAGTTCCACAAGTACCACACTCCCATAGTGGGGAAAAAAAAAAAAAAAAAAAAAAACTGTTTTCTGGTGATAACAGAAACTCCAGTTTGTTTGTGGCTTCTCAGACTGAAGAAGTCCTTTGGATGAAGGATGAAACAGCTCAGCAAAAAAACAAACAAAAAAAATTCCGGATGACCTGACTGAACATCGTTTGATTTGTACCTGGATTAATGAGCATGAACTTTGGTGTTTTGAACCATTTGGGCATGACTACCTCTGAGGAGTTGACGAGGGAGAGGGCAGGCCCCAGAAACCATCTTATCAGCAACAAAATGTTTTTTTTTTTTTTTTTTCCCCACTATGGGAGTGTGGTATTTGTGGGACTTCAGCTTGTTTGTGGCTTCTTGGACTGAAGAAGTCCTTTGGATGAAGGATGAAATGTCTCAGGGAGGAAAAAGAAACCATCCAGATGAACTGACTGAACATTGTTGGATTTGTTCCTGGATTATTGAGCATGAACTGATGGTGTCCATCAAAAATATTTTTTTCTTGTTTTATTCTAAGGAAGTGAATGTTTCTCTGACAGATTGTACGGACAGCGGATCTTACCATGGACCGAGGTGGAGGATGGAACCGGGGGACTTGTTCATCCCCGTCGACTCCATCGAGGAAGAAGCTACCTTGACATGTGACGCTAAAGGAATACCTCCTCCTCAATACAGGTAAGAGGAATTTCACATAAACGTGTTGAAATCTGGTTATCAGACTAGTTTTTCATCATAAAAGGAAAAAACTCTTTATGTGTCATCATTTATTGAATGAATTAGCATCATGGTTAGTTCAAAAGGATCTTTCTCCACGTTTGATCACCTCCATGAGTGAAATTATTTCATTTTTATGTTATTTTTGCTGTGTGTCGAAATTTTGAGGTGCACAGTTTCAAGTTTTTGAATGAACTTTTAACGAACAAGGCTGATTAAAACTCAAAATTTAAAAAGTTATTTCTCAGTAAATGTTTTTTTTTTTAATTATTTTCTGGCACTGTTTTATTTATTTTTTTCTCTTTTGAACACATGTTGATGTGCATAAAAGCATTTGGAAAAAGTTCAAATAAGTTTTTAACTCGTTGTGTGGCCAACAAAATGAACTAAAAAGAAAAATGCTGAAATAATGTTGCTGTTTTTTTTAAACTCCCAAGTGTTTTTGTCTATCTTGAAGACTTTTGATGGGAAGATGAAACATGATGAAAATACAAATTTGCAGATGAAAATATCTTCAGACGTACTCATTATGTCACAAATATGACTGATCACCGCTTTGGGCAAATAAGCATGAATAATTTTTACTGGCATGCATGAATAAACATGAATTTATCTAAATGAAATAAGGTGATGAAGATACACAACTGCTTTGATTTGTTGTTTCCTCCTCAAAGTTTTGTTTAGTGCAAACAGAAATGTTGTCAACAGAGGATGTTCTTGAATGTAAAGAAAGTGATCAACAAAGTGCACAAAGATTGCATCATTATTACCTGTCGCCAAGCAACGGCAGATGATCATGTAATTCCCTCTGTCTGTGCATACATTTGTGGTGTCTGTTAGCAAAATATCTCCTGGACCACTGAACAGATTTTGATGAAAGACCCAGACAGTAATCACTGAATGCACATCTACAATTGATTAATTTTTGGATTCAGCAAAATTCAAGTTGGCTGTCACAGCTAATCAACTTTAGGAAACACAAAATTACCTGTTATTAAGTCAACTGTACATAAATGAATCTAAAATTTTGTGTGATAGTAGCTGAGCATCATCTCCAACATATACTCTAAGCACTAACAAATCAGTTGAGATCTTGATTTAAAACTGAGGCATTAACTGTTTGAGTCAACTCTGCCTGTCTGTTAGCAAAATATCCAGTGAACCACTGAACAGATTGTGATGAAAGATCCAGAATGTAATCACTGAATGTACATCTACAACTGATTAACTTTTGGATTAAACAAAATTGAAGATGGCTGCCACAGCTAATCATATTTAAGAAACACAAAAATACCAGTAAATAAGTCAAGTCAACTGTACATAAACAAATCTAAATTTCAGTGTGGTAGTAGCTGAGAGTCCTCTCCAACATATGCTCTGAGCAATAACAGATCAGTTGAAATCTTAATTTAAAACTGAAGCATTAATGACTGTCTGCATGTTAGCAAAATATCCAGTGAACCACTGAACCATTATTTTAGAGAGAATTTTATGAACGTGCTTTTCAACCTGAATTGGACTCAACCCAATTCAAGATGATCGCTGCAACCTTGGCAGACATAGCTATAGCCAAACTAAGCCAATTAAGCTAAAGTTTGGTGTAGTAGTAGCTGAGAGTCATCCTCAACATATAATCTGAGTGCAAACAAGTTGTGAAATCTTTGCTTCAGTCATTGGCATGCAAGATGGCAGGCAATATACATTCCATAAAGGACTGCAAGTTTTAATTTCTTAATGAAAATATTTTCACGTTTCACATGAATTAACTTATTCTTTCTACGGCTTGAAGGATCACGCGAGAATAAAACAACTGCTTTTGCATTCCAAGTTTTGTGAATTGGTATCTGTCTGTGTTCAAGTTAATCAATGTATAAAATGCACAGTCAAGTATGAATCGAAACTATTTTTACGCTGCTTGAAATAAAAAAAGTTATGCAAATCAGACCATAAACGACTCTGGAACAATCACAGAATATCAGCAAGAGTAAATGTGGAAAATATAATCTACGTGCTTCTGAAGTTGTTTTCTGTTTTTTTTTTTGTTTTTTTTTTAACAAGGACTTTTACATAATTAGCATAATAAGTTAACTAAAAATATCACAATGCAAGTTATCTCTATTTCTCTGTTTTTTAAAAAAATTCAAATTACACTTGTTTTAAGATCATATCATGTTTATACACTATACTATGTTTAGTTGTGCAAAGTGAGTACAGTAGTCCCTCGCTACTGCGCAGTTCGTTTTTCATGGACTCGCTACTGCGTGGTTTTTCTAAATAAGCTTGCACATCACACACAATTGGCTGATTGACGGATGAGCCGCACGATGGGCATGGAATTTTTTATTTAAAATAAATTATGTAGCACCTGCTGCACCTGTATGCAGCCCACAGCTTGCAGGAGAAGCTTCCTCCTGCAGCGTCATATCTCCACTCTGCAGAGGAGAAGTGGGCGTGGCCAAGAGCGCTGGCAGATGGCCGAGTGCAACAGAAGGCAGAGAGCTGAAATCATGACATGCTGTGCTCTTTTAGAGCGTTTAGAGTTTAGAAACGTTGTTTAGAATATTGCAAGAGTGTGAGAAGTGTTTAAAACACCTTTATATATATATACTAAAATAAATTACTACTTACTACTTGTACTACTATTCCTACTTTGCGGTTTTTCACTTATCGCGGGGCTTCAGGGTATGGACCCCATGTGATAAACGAGGGACTACTGTATCGCAAATATGTAAAGCAATGATTAAGAGAACAACTTTAAATTAAACAAACACCTAAAGGTTAATTTGAGACATTTTCTTTCCACTAATCCGAAAGAAGGTATGCTATGAACACAAGATGTGTTCACATATCAAAACTGAGAGAATGATTCTGCTTTCTACCTTAGAATATTTAAAAAAACGTTTGTTTGAAACTTCCCACGCAGGCAAAGTCACTTTTGGTCATTCAGTGAGCAGAACTAAGGATTACTAATTGCAAGGCTATAATTTTCTTGTGGAAAAGATGTGCGCTTTCTCCTCCATTCATTTTGTCCTAATTAAATTGAAATGCGTACGGACACTCCGAGCAGTGGTGTCATTATGGCTTTACTGACTCATATTGACTAACACACCACCAATCTACCTCTCCTCTCACTGGAGAGTTTCTTTCTCAGAGACACACGTGTAGCATCTTAATGACCGTCTCTTTTTGTGAAACACCATGAGAACGATGCAGGTTGCTAGACACCAGTCGGCACCATTGATTACAATTACCTTGAGCGTTCAGCGTTTACCACGGCGCAGCCAGGACACCTGAGCTAGTGGTTGTGGAAAAACGTGTACACTCATTATTTCAGGCTTTTTGCCACCTAATACCAGGTACTTCCATGTCCTGATTAAAGGTGCGATGAGAATGTTTGACTCGGTGTCTCGTCAGACTGGCTGTTCAGGGCTCCGCATGCCCCTACCACCTCTCCGGCTTTGCTCTTGAAGTGTAAATGGGCTCCCATTGCTCTCTCGGCCCTTCTTCTCCTTTCCTTTTTTTTATTTTTTACCTCCTCCTGACACTTCTGTCACTCTCATAAATATGTCTTTTATACTGTGCACACACAGTAGCAGCATAAGAAGGCATAAGAGCCAAAAAGCAACTTCTTTCTCGTCTGTTGATGCAAAAACCCGCTGAGTTGCTTGAAAATCCATACAAAAGGCAACTTTATGTAACATTTATGATTGTCGCCCACTGCTTTAGGTGAAGCGGTGACAAAGTTTTTGCCTGTACTTGTGTGTACATGTGTGTTACTTTGTACAATTAGCAAAGTATCTCATGAATTACTTAATGGATTTTTATTAAACTGGCTCAAATACTCATTTGATGCACAATTGGTTAATTTTTTCATTTAGTCCCAATAAAGATGTCTGCCACAACTAACCAACTTTAACAAACACAAACATGGTGATAACCCAGACAAAAGGTTTGGCAGCTCAATCATCCAGGTATAAATCACAAAATAGGGTTAAATCATGTCATCTGGACAAGTTTCTTTAAGGGAGAAACATTTCTTCTTCCATCCAAAAGACTTGATCAGTCTGAGGCCTGCCAACCCAGATATGTCTTATAAATAGCACCTCCTTGATGTGTTTCAAGCCAGCCCTCTGTGGAATCCAAATAAACTTGCTTTACATGCAAAAAACGGACAATCCATCCAAAACAATCAATCATCATGTACAACTTTCATATGTTTTAGGCCAGATGGCCAACTTGCTACTCACAGAAACAGCCTGAGGACACCTGTGTAAAGCTGGTTTCTTTGGATTCCACAGAGAGCTGGTTGAAACACAAGGAGGTGCTATTTATAAGACAGATCTGGGTTGGCAGGCCTCAGACTGATGAAGTCTTTCGGATGAAAGACAAAACGTTTCTCCCCAAAAAACAAACATCCATATGAAATGATTGAACCCTTTTTTTGTGATAACCCAGACAGTTTTAAAGATATTGAGCTCAAACTGAGAGTGGTACTTGCTGAGAGTTATACCCAACACATTCTCTGAGCACTAACTGATCAAGCAAGATCTATGTTTCAAACGTTTTTATTATTATTAGAGTCAACCCTGTCTGTTTGTTAGCAAAATGTATGTTATTAATCTGTGGATGGAAATAAATGAAACTCTGGGAAAGTAATTATTGGGTGTGTCTCGACAAATTTTTACATTTTGGAGGCAACCCAGTTCAAGATGGCCATTGCAACCACCTGACTTTAAGAAACACAAAATGGCTATAAGTTAGTCCATTTTAAAATGTGCTAAAATTGAGTAGTTATTGTTGAGTCATTCACAATATATACACCAAGTGCTACTCATTTTGTCAGATATTTGTATAAAAGGTTAGCATTAACTGTTGAAGTCAGCTTCATTTGTCTGTTAGCAAAATATCTCATGAACCACTGAATAGATCTTGAAAAAGCACAGCTGCCAAAAGAAAAGCTT